TCTTTGTAAACAGAAACAAATCGTCGTTTGCATCGGGAAACAAATGCACGCGGATTCGTAGCTGTGATCTGGTAGACAATTTAAAGATAAAAGAGGAAACAAATTCACGCGGATTCAGATAAAACAAAGTCAAGAAACAAATCACGTGGATGAAATGATGTCGTTTCACCTTCGCCACCACTGTTACTTCACCACTATAAAATGAATCCCAGATCCCCTCACCACCACCCACCCTCCTTCCTTCCGCCACTGCCCCTCCCCCCCTCGCCTTCTTTCTCCGGAGGATTCCCGCCAGGTATCTCTCTCTCTACAAACTCCGATAGTAGCTGGCCTAGTGGTTGTTTCAGATCTGGAGCTTTTAATTTTTAGCCGTTATTATTTCCCTAATTTTAGTCAATAACCCACAAACTGATCCGACCCAAATGTTGGTTGGATTTGATTTTTTTTTTTCTGAATTATATCTTTTGTAATTTGTGGAAGAGTGAAGAATTTTGTGGTCGAATATTGTTTTGCAGAATCGGGTTGAGCTGTATTTACTATTCGCAAAACCAATTTTAAACCCCTGATTCTGATGCGATTTTGGGCGATTCAGAGGAAATCGAAACCGTCTCAGCTTGGGTTTTTTTTTATGTGAGCAGTTACGGCCTTTTGGGGTGTTTTGTTCTCGAACTGGTGTATGTAACGGAGGAAATCTCCGTTTTCGCGGAGGTGTGATATATTAGATGTGAAATTTTCTATCTTCCTGTTTGGTTGCCTAGAAAGTCCAAGAAAGTAGAGAATGATCGATCAAACAATTTAGAGGGGGGATAAAGTTTCTGGGATTGATTTTGTTCTGTGTTTGTTTCTGATTTAGTAAACTTAATCAAATTATTAGCTCGTTTCTACAGAACATATGTGTGCGTGTGACTTTGATTAATAATTTGGGAAACTTTTGTTTTCCAATTAAAATGAGGTTCAGTGTGTAAGATGAACAATTTTAAGGTTTTCCTTGGATCTGGAAGATTGATGGGAAAGTTGTTCTGATTCGTGTTTTTCTTTGGTGGTGCTGTGTGTTTATGGACAGGCGTTCTTTTGTGGAACAGGAACGGTTTCGAAAATGAACCATTTCAATGTTCAGCAGCAGAACGCCTCTTTCGTGGGCTGTGAAGGCATCAGAGGTCCTGCCTTGATGTCTGACACCAAGGAGCCTGTGGTTTGCCCCAAGCCCAGGCGAGTCGGGATTTTGTCTAACAACCCCATTATGCCCTTGAGATGGCAGATGAGGTACTTTTACTTCTCCAGTGTTGTCCCTTCCACCTTACGTTGGTTATTATGCTTTATTTATAGGTGATAACATGTATTTTCTCATCTTTGCAAATTAGCAGTCATCAACCCGAGTTATGCGACTCAAAGGCTGGGGCAGAACTTCTGGACCTTATTCTCAGGAAGGTAAACTTGTTATTTCCAATGATGATATGGATTCAGTTCATGCACATATACGTTTAAGTGATGCATCAAATTTGGAGCTGCAAGCTATTTGATCTTGAGCGTTTTGCTTTTTCTTGTATGGTAAATTGTGTAGATATCTGTTGCACAAACAGTATTTCTGTATAATATTTTTTTCCGAAATGACTACAACCATGGTGATGTTATTGTTTTGTACTTGATGTTATGATATTACAATTGGCTAACATGTTGGCATCTACAGGAGGGTTATGGGTTGGAGCAATCATCTACCGAGGTTGCCTTATCGCCCCCATATTTTTGCGTTTCTCCTCCCAGTAGGGCTGCTAACCCATTAATTCAAGATGCTCGATTTGGAGATGAGAAGACCACTCCTGTTTCGGCATTGCCTGTTCCATCTCCATCAACTTTATCGTCGCCACGCAAAGCAGGTTGTGTGAGAGTGAGTATGGGCTTAAACCTGCTGCAGTTAGAGTAGAGGGATTTGATTGTCTCAATAGGGATCGCCAAAACTCCCGCATCCCAGCATTTGCCTAAACTTCATCAAAGTAAGTGTACATATAAGAAGGAAAGCTAAAGCCACCATAGCTCACAAGTACAGCGGACTTATCAAGAAGAGCGAATTTTGACAATTTTTTGGAGAAATTGAGATCTACTAGTACTGTATATAGCGTTTGTTGTCGTCGATGATCATCTAAGTTGCTAATATCTACAAGTATCGTGATGGAACATCACGAGAGAGTGTCAAACTGTCAAGCCTTGTGTTCTGGAGAAAGGGCTTGTATATGTTTAAAGCCTTTTGCTCTGTTGTAATATTAAGATGGGTCTTGATTTTTCTGGTAATCACCAGGAAGAGTGTATAAAAACTTATCGGTGATATAGATTGGTGTATTCATCTGTAAATGTGTTTTCGTCATATTTTTGGAGATAAATGGGTTCTGGTTATTTGTCAGTTACGATGTCTTGGTCTTGCCCATGTATCGATCTTATTTTTATATTTCGAACTGAGATCTCTATGAATTGGAATTCTAATGCATATAGATACAAATGGTCCAATGGGAGTAAGAATTTACAAGAACATTTTATTTCTAAGCAGAAGAGCCGTTTTCATTTTCAATAAGTGTTTGATCCAGTTCCTATATATTTACACCATAAAGGTAGATGAATAAATTAGTTGTGAACTCGCTGATAGACACGTAGCTATGACATTTGTTACCCTATTATTTATATTTGCTAGTGGTTCATTCAAATTATTTGGAGCTAAATTACCATACTTTTGTAATTTACAAGTATAAAGACGTGTGTTGGTAAAAAGTTGAATTTGACAAGGTCTTAACACGTTCATTATGTTTTAGTCTTCCTATTCACGTTGGCTTTATCTATTTAATTAATTATTATTTTATTTTTGGGTTGAAGACCAATTGGTGTGATTTCTATTTATTTGGACCAACAGCTGGTGCGCCTATGTGAGTTGTTTTCAACTTACAAAGAAGGGCTTTTCAACTTCACACAAAGATAAACTACGAATTACATTTTCCAGCTCGATTCCAAGCGGTGGGAATTTCTAGAATCATCATGACTCTTAGCTAAAACTAAGGCCACTGGTGAGCTAGCATGGGATCATCGATTGCTTTTGATTCTAACAACTTTAAAAACTTCGTGTATAGTTGGTTTTGTATTGTATTGAATCTTTTAAATGACTAAGCAAATTAAACTACAACCTTCTCCTCTTACTTCTATCGTATTTGTCTTTATTGTCTCTCTTTTTGTATGCTTGATGAAATACCTTAGTTTGTGTGGCTTCCTTGAAAATGACATGACCAAGTTGATAAGTATTTAATTTGTTTTTCACTATGCGTAATTGAATTTCTGCTTGTTTGTGTATGTTGGACTATGGATATATAGATGGTAGGAATAGTTGAATTTAAGCCTGATCCCATTAAAATTCACATCTCTTTGGGAAATTATTGGCATGTGTACTTAACCATAGACTCATGCACGACAGTTCTTTTTGTTAATCGCATGGAAGTTTTTGTTAATTTGACAATTCATGAGCTGACAATTGGATACTAGGGTATGACAGCTAGTAGTGGAACCAACTTAGTGTTTTTTTTCTTTGGTTTCAATCATACTTTTGTTTAATCATTGTTTAATTTTTATTCTTCTTCGAAACAAATCCAATCTTTATTTCATTTAGTTAATAAACAGTGATAGGATTCAATAGTTAATTCAACCCAGGTGGATTCGATATCGTATTTACATATTTCTATTACAATTGATTCATGTAGTTGCGAGATAATTAGTTTGAATTAATCTATTATTTAGGTTAGTTTAAATACACATCACTCGCTAATATTGTCATCTCTCATTTACAAGTGAAGGATACCATAAGGCCATTACGAAGTGGCTTTTCGATACTTAAAGTTAGACTTAAAGATGAATGAAAAATCAAGAGTTTAGTGTTTCTTAGCGGAGGAACGGTTACCTCTCATGGTGGAAAGGCCATGTCCTTTTATACTGGTAGGGTTGAGTATGATGTTGCCCATGATGGTGCACACGGCGTCCTCTAATTGGTATGTTTGAGAGAGAAACCAAAAAACTGTTGAAAGCTAGCCTCACTAACTAATCAGTAGCATAATTTCTTTGCTTGTGGACATTGAGTAACACTACAAAAGCACCCAAACAGCGACCCAAAAGTGCTTCAGCCTTGAGCAATTAACTGCAGGAATATGAATGCATGAAGTTTTTGACTGCGGCAACTTTGAAAAGAGCAGCTTATCCGTTTGTTTATCTGAACAAATGCATGTCCATACGTGTAGCTATCAATGGTGGATGATACAACAAAATCGGCCGCTCAATTATGAAATATGCAAAAAGGAATTGTGGCTCTTGATAACATGCTTTGTAGATGATTTGTGGCTATTAATTAAGCTATCTACAACCTACAAAGGGAATATTTTACAACCTATTTAATTTCCCAACGAGTTGAAAAATTAGAAGAAAGAAAGACAAATTGAAGGAATAACTGCGTTGCATAACATTTAATTATGTTTAAACGAATTTAATTAACATAAAAAAGCCGATTGGCACATTGAATTATGAAGTAAATTATTCAAGTGATTAAATCAATCTCGGTGGAAAATTTTGAAAAGCAACCAAATTTCTATCATGTGTCTTGCAGCCTATTTTCTTTCTTCAAATTTTAGGGTTTTAACCACTTAATGAGTTTGGTTACACTACCCTAAGGTCCTCGATCGAGTGGGATTCAAGCATTTCACAATAATCTCGAATGCTCGAGTGATCATTTTTCTAAATCTCAAAAACAGAGGTTAAAAGTTTGTGATGTGTGTAAAGAAGGTTTGAATTTGTAATTAGAAATAGTAAAATAATAAGAGTCAAAGAAAATGCTAATAGTAAAACAATAAAAAAAATTGTATATTATTTATGAATTACATTGTTGAACAATCTTCTTAAATAAAGAGATTTATATACACAATGGTATGTGGAAGATATAATAAATAATATAATCAGTAAATATAATACATTACTCGTCCAAATAAAAATAAAATACGGATCTCATTGAATCATGAATTTCTCAATCAACACCATCTTGAATCCGATAAAACACCAAATTCGAAAACAAACGAGAGTGCCTCGAAAAAGGGACAGAGAATTAAAGAAACAAATAGACAGAGGTCTTGAAAGCCCTAATCAAATACAAACTTAAACAGACCACCGGGACCCTTGGCTAAGAGCCACAATGGTACATACAACAACAACATTATTTATGAAAATTGTAGAACAACTTAGACGCCTGGAGGCTTGTAAGCGATGAAACTGATGCACTGCACTTGACGGACATTGTCGAATCCGATGATACGGATGAAGGATTGGGGGTAGGCCTTCTTGGCCTCTTCCAGCTCTTTCAACACCTGGGAAGAGTCGGTGCATCCGAACATGGGCAGCTTCCACATTGTCCAGTACCTTCCATCATAGTATCCTGGGGATCTGTGGTTCTCACGGTACACGAATCCATGCTATATGTTTATCACAATTTTTTACAAGAGAATTAAGTTAGCAAACGATTAAGTACGTTACCACGTCAAATCATTAATTTAACAAACTAATATATATATATATATATATATATATATATATATATATATATATACAAGGTTCGAAATTATTAACCTCCAACTCAAATTCCAAGCAGGGAACCCAGTTTTTGCGGAGGAGGTAGTCAACTTCCTTGGCCAAGGACTCGGTAGAAAGGGGAGGAAGGTAAGAGAGGGTCTCGAACTTCTTCAGTCCAAGTGGAGGCCACACCTGTATTCATCAAAATAATTGATAAACTGAATTTGTACTTCGGTAAGTACCTTTTGTTTTGCCAAAAAACAAGACGAGATATATGTATTATTTCGGCCTAATTATACAAAATAATACATATAAGTACCTTAGATATAAAAAATAATTTGCAAAGAATCTGACCCGAAAGTATATATGCATATATATTTGCAAAGATATTTTTATGTTAAATTATCAAACTCCTAATAATAATTTATTTATAGGTTGATAGATGATGTAGTAACTCTGTACTAACTAATTTTTTAGGAGCGAAAGCGAAACAATAGAACTTTGTACTAATTAATTATGAAAATGTATTTGATTAGTAGTTTTTCAATTTAATTAAATGTATTAATATATTTTTAAGGGATTAGTAATTTATTAGTATCGATTAATTCTTACCTGCATGCATTGCACTCTTCCTCCATTGCTTGCAATAGAGGTAATGTCATTGCTTTTTCTGGTGACAGGGAAAGCTGAGGAGGACTTGAGGCCGGTGAATGGAGCAACCATTCTGGCTTGAGCGGGGGCGGAAACTGTAGCCACGGTACCGGAGGAAATCATGGAGGAAGCCATTGCTCTCTCTCTCTGCTTTCTCTTCTTTGAGTGCTTTACTTCTTTTGGTTGAGATACGCAGCTCCTATTCTGCCTTCCTATATATAGTGCTCTGACTACCCTTGTCCTATCCTACGGTCCTGATCCCATGAACATTTTACCAGCAAACACAGACCGTTGGATGATGTACCTGATGACATTACAGCATATAGACCACATGAAGCAGAGGAACAATTTGAAAGTTAGCCTTATCACTAGGCACCACTATGACCTTGCCACGTGGAAGGAGATCCATTATCTTATCTAATCCAAGGGAGAAGGTGAATGTGTGATGGTGGTTGGCCTCTTGTTTTGGTCAGTCTCTTCCCTGCGGTCGGTTTCGCCCCATGCCCCCTCATCATCCTAGTGTCTTGTCTTTATTTCTGGACCCCCTTCCTCCTTTCGAAATATTTACATGCAGACGTAGGTAAATTTTCACTTGTTACAGCAGAGCAGACGGCCTTTCGCTCAAGTGTTTCTTCGGCAATGGAACAAACAAGTTGTGTTTTTTAGGTCGTATTATAACCATAGTAGTTTAGGCTAGCTAAGGTCTTTGATCATAACCTCATGATTTCTAATAATGGTTACGCAAATGTTTATTAGGGTGTCAATGAAGAAATTGATTATGTATGTAATTCTTTACTTTGGAAGGTGTTATGTAAAGTTTGTCAAGATTTAAAATGTCAGGTCAACAGTTCATTATTAATTATATTGATATTGTCTCAATTTAATCACTTGCATAACTTAACAGATTTTGAATTTTATTACAAAATGTCTCAAGTGAAACCACATTTAGTATCATTTATCCAATGTGAGATTTTTCAACACTCCCCATCATGTGTGCAACCAATTCTACTTTGAGAACCTCCTCTCTTTTTTTCTCAAGTAGCAGAAGATTGTTCGCTAGTTTAGGATCTTGTTCACGTAAGCAGTCAATTTGGAGGGAACCCGCTTTGATACCATGTCAACATTTTAGAGTCAAGCCAGCTATTGACTACCACACTAACTATCCCAACTTAACCACCTAATCGTCCAACAAGTGTTGAATTTTATCACAAAATGTCTCTTTGCAATAAGGAGCATAACCATTAAAATTTATCCTATTAAGTTTCCAATGTGGAATGGCATTCTTTAACAAAGTTGTGGTCTTAAACTGTTGTATTTTGTTGTTTTTTTAGACAAAAATGATTTATCACCGTCATTATTGTGCGAAACGAATTTCCCACAAACATAAAATTAAAGAGACATGTGATGAGAGAAAAATGATTTATCACCGTCATTGTTGTCTTGCCCATTTAGGAAACAATTGATTAAAGAGACACGGAGAGAAACCAATCAAGAAGTTTAGGGAAGGCCCTTAACATCTCCGAATTCATGCCCATTTAGTGAACAATTGATTAAAGAGACATGTGATGAAAGAAACCAATCAAGTAGTTTAGGGAAGGCTCTTAACGCCATCCGAATTCATGGTCTATGTCCGGGCGACGATTATAGGGATCGCTATCTCTCACACTGATCCTGCTGGTCGTCCTTTATTAGGCCATGCTGGGCCAATCTCACTTGCGAGCCCTTCTAGACTCGTGGATACCTCTTGGCCTTTTACTAAGCTCACTGAGGCCACCAACTCCAAGATGGTCCAACACCTTGGTTTATAGGACTCCATCATGTGTGCGAACTACAAGGCTACAATGAGGATGTGGTTGGAAAACGTTTCCTTCGACGTTTTCAAGAACTCAGAAAAATTAAAGGAAGATGTAAGCATTTGTATTTAGATGCCGTTAATACAGTGTTGATTGGAAACACCAATTTGTGAATGCAAATTTTTGTCTTCTTCTTCTTGGATGAAAATGCACCTGCAAAACAATTAACATCTTAGGTCAAGGCCAAGAGCCTCACGCGCCCACGATGAATTGGGGGGGGTTTGGCTGAAGAACCTCCGATACCAAAGTTAGAATTTGAGGGAAAAGTGTTGAGAGAAATTTGGAGAATTTAGCAAGAAAGTTAGGATTAGGTTTTTGGAGAAATGAGGTGGTATTTATGGGGGTGTGGCTAGAAAAGAGGTCCAGCCACTTATGATGGTTTTTGGGTGTAATTGTAAGATATTATGTCAAAATAATATTTTTCAATCAATTAGGAAATTAATTAATTAATTTTGGTAATTAATCCTATTTTGAATGAATAATTGAAGGTTACCTCGTGGGAGGATTTGATAAGGATGGATGAAGTATGTTTTGAATAAATACCAATTTTGATCACTTTTGACTCTAATTAAGTCATGATTGTCCGCTGCTTGGGCGTAAGAGTTCCCGATGTGCCCCGAGGATAATTTTATCTTTTTCACCTAAAAATCCACGTGTCGCCTCTATATTTTTTTAGATTATTTTTTACTCCACAAATACGTCAATATAACGGTATTAATATGATGTTAATATTCAAATATAATATCGTCGTTCATGTTGCTCCGTACATTATAGAAACTGCTCTAGAGCGAATCAACGTTACGTGGCGATCCATTTGACAAGGAAAAGAATCGAAGTTCCAACTTTGAAATTGAAAAAGCCTACGTCTTAGATTTGGACAACACTGGGCCACTTCTATTACTAGACCTATTATTTGTAATTGGCTCAATATGGTAGGGCTTCTCATAGAAATACAGGATCCAATAAGAGAGTTTCTACAAGTGCCATACCTTAAACTTGAGAACTATAAATTTTCTTGGGCCTTCACTAATAGCTTTTAGGTAAGGGATGTTTTTTCTTTCTTTTCTATAGTTTGATTCGTGAAGTTTGTTCTCACAAATATTAACAGTTGTTAAGGACTACATTAATTAAGTATACACACAACTCCATGACACTAGGGTAGCGGTTCTCTATTCGCCTTCTTAGTTCGTAATTATTTCAAATATAAATCCATGCTATAAACATAAAATATCTAACAAGATAGTATTTCATATGCAAAATAGGCAAACAACTGTCAAATTTGAGTCGCACACGTTGACCATAATGTACTAAGATGGTTCAAGACGTAACAGGATCGTCTTGAATCATAATTGGAACTAGGTGCTCATGAAAAACATTGGTACGCTTCTAAAGTAGTTATTTTATTGTATTTAGGGGGACTAGCCACCACAAAATGTTACTAGATCACATTACAAAAGTTAAGTATTTATTTTGTTGTATTTATAAGTATATGCTTGTTCGTACGTACTTTCCAACATTCTCCGCTAATGATCGCAATTGCCAATACTTATCTGGGATTGGAGAACAAGTAGATACCCCCTTATGCTATCAAAACCCAGGTTCAAACTATTACCTGTCAGTGTCATGAATTATATATAATATTATATACAATGGTGTGTTATCTGATAAGCTTATGGGGCTCATCTTTAATTTAATATAAATTTCCGTTGATTATTTCTTTTTTATTCTTCCATTAAATATGTTCTTGATTAGGACTGGCTTCCTACTACAAGAAACAAACAAATTTCTGAAATCCCCCATATAGGGCGGACCTGTGACACCATTGTTTTTATACAATTTTTGGCACATGGTTTAGTAAAACCAATTTCATAATGTATTTTAATGATCCGAATTGTCTACCTTTTAGGTCTTTCCTACAAAAGATCATCTAAATCTGAAACCATATGACCATTGGATTAAGAATTTAGAGTTTCTTTATATAACTGTATTTCTCCATTTTTTTTCACTACAAATGAATGTTTTTGTTGTTTTGGATTGACTAATTTGTGGCAAGGATGATTTATGAATGAGGTTTTAAAAGATAGATAGTTCAGATCGTTGAAATGTATTACGAAGTGGACTCTATAAAAACATGTGTAAAAAATTAGTGTCACGCATATATATATATATATATATATATGTATGTATGTATGTATGTATGTATGTATGTATGTATATGTAGATGTAACATGGTTGTCAACAAACTTCTGCATACAAAAGAAGGTGGGAAGAACTGTTGCTAATTAAATTAATAAACAGGAATATGTTTACCATGCATGCACTCAAAACTCTTGCAAGGGAAGCGTGTGGAGACCACCATTGTTCTTGATCAGCCAGCCCAGCCATAACCAATCCTCAACTGATCAGCATCAACAATTTGAACTAATGGTCCAACAAGGATGATTAAGACTTATTTCGGATCAGTGCAAAACACATCCCCCAATTGGCCGATTAGCTAGGGTTGACTTTCTAAACCTCATAATTAAGCTCCAGATTGATAACATAGTTTATAATTATATACATATATTATATGGAATGGACTTGGTTTCGAGGAAACCTATGTTTAGGAACTAGCCAATGGCAGCAGAACACAGCTTGCTGCATCCGGCATCACTCGCCATTGTTAAATAATAAGAGTGGTGTGAGTAATGATGTAGGTACAATTGTCTTTAGCATACGTGTGCAACCTACATTGTGTTAGACATTGCTAGCACCAAAGTTTTGGAGAAGGATATTGTTAATAATTTGGGAAGTAATTAGCTAAATGTATATTATTGTTAATCGTACACATTAGGTTGAGAATTTGGCTTAATATGTAGCATCGTTTTCCACTACGAGGACTCAGTTAATTGTATAGGTAAAACTTTTTCATGCACTCACCACGGATAAGTATGATATTGACGAAAAATGCTAAAGATGAGACTCTTCATGAATTATCTGCCACATTATGTTGTACAGAAGCATATGCTATCATTTATCAACAAAAAAAAAAAAAAACCTTGTTTATCTCACATCTATAGCATATAACAACAGCTTAAACTCTCCTAAAAATTAATTAATTTGATCAACGCATGGTTATTATTCAACCGTCACTAGTTTTCATGATTTGAACTATGTAGACAAGAATATAAAATATTGTGCATGTCTATATGTAGTGACATGAGAAATGCTAACAAAAACCATTCGTTCACACGTAATTGTGAGCTATTTATGTGCATGTCATCTATTTCAAAATCTATTTATGTGCATGTCATCTATTCCTCATAAGAATTTGAAAGCCTTGTTGCTGAAGACTTTATCTTCTTCCCTAT